AGTATTTTAATTGTTAGTACCCCCCAATGGCCTTCCATAGGGCTCTGGCATTTAGAAATTAAGCCGTGTTGAAACAGCTGAGAGGTAGAAATTAATTATTTTCAGAATATTTTTTAAACAACTTTAATTCCAAATAGAATCCTAAAATTTTGTAAAGGTACAGTTTCTTTCTGTAGCTTTTAAATGTGCTTTGGATAGGATGATTTTAATCACAGCAAATATTTAAAAAGATTATCTGCTTAATTGAAGGGATGCCGTCATGGAGGACTTTCTAAGTAAAACTGCCTTGTATCCATATTACACATGGGGAAAAAAACATAAAAGCTTCCTTGCAGGTAGGGATTTAGACACCAATTCTTTTACTAACATTCACCAATTGTACTGCTGAGTTCTAATGGATCTTCAAAATTGCTGTAATACATCTATGTGAAAGCTTTTGCTTTTTATAATCAATCGAGTAGTTTTGTGTATACAGTTCAAATAAGGTGATAGAAAATCTCAAAAATGTGCATATTGAAATATAATTTTTCTTCAATTTCTGTCATGAATTATTATAATGTTAAAAAAGCAGTTATATCAGTGTACATAATCAATAATATGTAATGTTAAAAAATAATAGCCAAATCTGTGTGCAAAACCAGTTAAAAGGTCCGAACACATTGAACGGTATTCTATGATTTATCAAAACTTCAAAATGTAACCACATTTTTGTCTAAAAATTTGCAATGAAAGAATTTTAGATTTATTTATTTATTTATTTATTTATCTATTGCAGCTAATTTTAATTGATAGTGATGTTTCTGAATGTATAGGAATAGTTTTTTTTTTTTTAAACCAATTTTAAGTTCACTGAAAATCTATCGTGTTAGAAGTTTTAACCCTGAAATTTCAGGGTGGTGTACTGTGGCATGTCTTGATTTTTCAAATTCAACCAATGAATATTTTTCTCAATATTTTGCAAAAGCTGCATTCAAATGACGTCACAGCTTTCTTGCATAATGTGCAGAAAAATCTTATGTTTTAGAAATATTTTACTATTTGATTTTGCATTCATTCTATAATATGTAGAATTTTTTTCGCAAAATATAATAATGAATACTGGAATAAAATAATTTTAGTAATCAGTGCATTAGTTTTTATTTCTCTTTATGTTGCAAGCACTCATTTTTAGAATGGGAATGAGGCAGTATGGTCATGACTTTTCAATTAATAAATAGAGGCAAGAGTACTTTGGTATGGAAAAATGTAGCATGATACAAAATCTCCTGATTTATATTTTCAATCCTTAACTGCACTTATTGCATTGAAACTAATTTTCATTGTAGCAATATTTAGCCTTAGTATGCCTAATATAATTGTATCCTTGGGCAATAATCCTTCCAAATCTAGCAGTCCATATTTCTGACATCGGAAATCCAGAGCAATGGCGAGTGCCATCTATTGATGAAAGGAAGGAGGTTAAGAAGGAGGTTCTGTTTAACATTAGAAAATAACTCCTTCAGTTTATATATATTACATTGGTTCTTGTTGCTAATTAGTAGTATCTGTATAATACGTTTAATTGTTCATAATAGTAAAATATTTAGGAATTATTTACTTTAAAAAGGATATTTTCATATGAAGAAGATTGAATCATATTGTGATTATGCATAAGAAAGATTATAAAATACCCAAGCAGTGAACTTAATCAATCACTAGAAAGCTAACTTTATATGAATTAGCAAAGCTCTACAACCTCATCTGGTTTACCACTGATGGGCCATCTTTAGTTTTTAGAGATGCTAGAATGATTTCATATGTATTAGATCCAAAAGAAGCAAAGCAAAAATCTTTTTTGACAAAAAAAAGTAAATTCTTGCTGGAATTTTTTTTTTTTTTTTTTTTTTTTTACATTTTGTTTTTGAACAAATTTCTGTGTTCATAGTTACAAACTTTGACTGAAACAAGTACTGGAAAATACAAATAATTTGTCTCTTAATCTTTTAAATTTTAAAACTGAAATTTAATACAACTTGGAGAGTAATGGGACATTTTAACTTATTTGCTTCACATCCATTGCCTTGGAAAATCGTGTGCATAGTTGCATTGTCTTAGAAAATGGTTTAGTCTGTTTTCTACAGAATGGAAGTGAAGGAAAAAAGAAATTTTATATGTTTATATATATATAAAGGAAAGAATAAAATGTGTAAGAAAAGCGGGTTTTTTTCCCCCCTCTCTGAAATTGAAATATTGGAATTGAAAGAGTGACTTAAGTTAACAGATTTTATTGATTATCAGGCTTCAAGAAAATCATATTTAAGTTGAAACTTTTTAAATAACTGTCATAGAAGGAAGTTGTTTTGCAGCTGACATACTTGTAATATCTAGCTTTTTTAAAATACGTGCAACATCAAACAAATAATTATTAGGGCCATAGAGAAAAGGCAAAATATTTTATAAAGTAAAATTAATTGTTTATTTATTCAGAGGGGGTGGCAATTCATTCTTACTGAAAATAAAAGGTACATATTATGGAAGACGCAACTTTAGTATAGAAAGAACTGAACTTGAATTCATCATTTATTGTTGCTTAGAATATTAGCATTTTCTGCATATTAGCATAAATCTTGGTCTTTTCTGTTAAAGCTATACCACTATATAGTGCTTTTCTTGTTTTAGTATATTTCTTTGATGTTAAATGTCATCAGTTTGGTTTGGCTTCTTCCCTGGTGATAGTTGACTTAATAATCTATGCTGATGCAAATACATTTTTCATCTGATCATAATCCTTCACTCTCTGCAATGGATTTGGAATATTTCACAGTAAAACATTTGTATCATTTCATTGATCGAAACAAACTTGTGATGTCAAAACTTGTGGATAGCGCAAAATGACGCAATAAATGCCAAAAAGATATTGGTCGTCAATTAAACTTTTATTTAAGTGATTTCATATAATGCTGCATATGTGCCAAAGGGAAAATATTTTTTTGCTATGTTAAATGCAATTTTTAATATCTGTTCTTTAGTCTTGGGATTTTTTAAACCTGTGTTTATTAATTACTTTAATTTTTTTTTTTTTTTTCAGCTTTCTGTATTTAATCTAGTCATTTAAGAAGCCATAAAAGTTTTTTTTTGGGGGGGGGGTGTTCATTTTTCGAAGAAGATTTCAGGGATGAAAGCAGAGAACAATTATGAGTAGAATTCATTAAAATGGGAGAAAATGTAGAAAAATAAAGCAAGAAAAATTTTGGGGATAAAATGTCCGGTATTAAGCCAAATGCATAGCAAAAGAAATGACCCAAAATACATTATTATAGTGTTGAAAATACATGATATGGCTATAACAGAAAAGTACTAAGAATCATGACAAGATGATGAATTCATCCAGATCCTAATTTATACATTTGAATGAAAAGCTTCAGAAAATTGAAACAAGACATGGTGTATTTTTAATATTATAGCTATTAATTTAAATTACAGTACGAAGTCTGTAATCCGGACTCGTCAGGACTTCAGCGATTCCTGATTATAGATCATCAGTTTAAATCTGGTAAGATGGCATGCAGAAATTATACAGTTAAAAATATGAAACCGTAATTTATTAAATAAAGAGCAATTATGATCTAAAGGATATTAAAATTTACAAAAAAAGCTTAATATTTATTTATTTACTTTATTAAACTTTTCTTTCAATTTAAGTTGCTTTGTTTTTTGTGCTAGTACTTTCCTTTAATTCTATAAACAGACATGATTACTTGTTCAGTTACAGAGTTCCACTGTTCAAGTCCTGTAATTGCTGTGTCGAGAATACTGACTAACTTGTCAAACAAAATTTTTTTGTTTTCAATAACCTCGCTGTCACTTTCTTCACTATCCGAAGCGGTATTTTCTGGATCTAGATTTACTGATACTACAGATTTTTCCGTTCGTTAATTGATTGATGATTGGGGCATTGTCGTCGCAATGAAAAACTTCTGTTATATTATCTTCATTTATTACCGCTTCTGCACATTTCTTTATAAAATCCAATAACTGAAAAATTTCACCTTTAGTTTGCAATGTCCAAAAACCTTCATCGTCCTCACCATGAAATATGGTAGCTGGCCATAAATTATGTCAAGCATTTTTTAACATATCTGGAGACGCATCCTCCCAACGCACATACGTAAAGTATACCAAAGAAAAAAGTTTGTGGCTTTGAAGTCCGGATTACGGACTTTGTACTGTATTTAATACTGAAGTGATAAATGTTATATATCGTGATATGCTATACCTATATATGTGTCTGTATGTGCATGTATAGCCAAACTTTTTGTAATTTTAAATGTGATGGAAACAAAAATGTAAAATATTAAAAATTTGTAGGTTAGTCGATTTGGGCTTCCTTATATAGTTTTCTTTTTAAAATAAATTGATAAGATGTGCTAAATAAACACGTAATATTTTTACCACTATTAGCAGTAGTGTGTGAAAGATTTTAGTCAGGTGATTAAAATCATATTTTAAATCAAAGGATTAAAAAAAAAAAAAAAAAAAAAAAAAAAAAAAGTCATTGACTGAAATCAAATAGTTTGCTATTTCTTTATATGATGGGAAAGAAAATCAAAGTTTAAGATAACATGTAATGTTCTTAAAGAGATTTTATTTACTAAATATTTTATAATAAATTTTATTCGTGTAATATTTCTTTGTACTTTAAAAGTAAAATCGTATTCAATTTATATCATGTCTTAATTATTATATTAATTTGCATCTAAAATATATATTATAGTTTTTAATATCTAAGTAGATTTTAAATTGCTTTGAAAATCATCAATGTGTAAACAGCATTTAATAAGTGGATGCAGAAAAATATAAGAAATGCAGTTTAAATTGTAAAAAAAATCATGATTTTTTTAATAATATGGTACGTAAGAACCTTAGGTTGAGATGTGTATCAGAATTTGTTTCAAACTTGTATGTAAAGTAGTAAAAAAATATGAAAATTTAATGAAAAATTATAAAATGTATTTTTAAAGATAATTATTCAGGCATGGATTGGCCTTCTTCTGAAAGCCCAGCATCAGCATTAACTTCACAGAATCAGGTTCCATCTTCTATACAAGGTCCTGGCTCTGGTCAGTCACCTTTAAGTTATGGCCAGGGGTCTATACCTGGCCAGCCAAATCAAACACTTCCACAAAGGCCAGGTATTCCTACACCACCAGCATCTCACCTTTCTTCATTAAATCAGGTAATAAATTTTATAATTCAATAAAATTTAAAATGGTTGCATAACTGTTGTGAAAATTTTATGAATTTTTACACTGGTTTAATTTAACATTTTAAGGACATTTTTTCTGTTACATTTAGAGTATAATGTTAAAAAAAGTAAGATTTGTTTTGTACAGTGAAACGAAAAATTTATGCGTGTGTCAAATCTTTATCAAAGTGTTATTCACTGAGAGACAGTATTTTTTTAATTTATTTATTTTATGTTTTTTAATGTGTGTATGAACTAAAAACATTCAGTGTCATGTAGTTAATATTTGAAAGCAAAACTTGTAAGAATATAACCAGCCCATACCTGATGTATGCCAAACTCGGGCTGTGCAGCTAAAATTCACTTTGTCTTACATTTATGAATCTTTAGAACTTAATTTGCGTAACCTTTTTTCTGGCAAAACTGCCTGTTGATTATTAGAACATGCAAGTACTAAATCTGAATTACTGTTGTAAAAATGCTATCTACCTATGAATTTTTGGTGGACAGGAAACCTTCATGCAACTCGTGTTTGTTGTTTAGTTTCAGACACGCAATGAAAAACAGTAAAAATTTCCTCATTATGAAGTAATTTATTGCCCCTTTCTCCCCAAAAAAGTGTCTGTGACTAAAGTATATGTCTTTTCGTACTTTTATTCATTTTCCTTACTAGCCATAGTTGGCACTTTTTCTAACTATCTCTTTTTCTTCATGCCTTGAAAGTGTGGTATTTTCTGGATCTAGATTTACTGATACTACAAATTTCGCCGTCTGTTAACTGATTGATGATTGGGGCATTGTCGTTGCAATGAAAAACTTCTGTTATATCATCTTCATTTATTACCGCTTCTTCACATTTCTATATAAATTTTATAATCAATAAAATTTAAAATGGCTGCATAACTGTTGTGAAATTTTTATGAATTTTTACACTGGTTTAATTTAACATTTTAAGGGCATTTTTTCTGTTACATTTAGAGTATAGTGTTAAAAAAAGTAAGATTTGTTTTGTACAGTGCAACAAAAAATTTACGCTTGTAGCAAATCTTTATCACATTGTTATTCTCTGAGAGACAACATTTTTTTAAAAATTATTTATTTTATTTTTTTAATGTGTGTATGCAGCTTGAACTAAAAGCATTCAGTATCATGCTGTTAATATTTGAAAGCAAAACTTGTAAAAATATAACCAGCCCATACCTGATGTATGCCAGACTCAGGCTGTGCAGCTAAAATTCGCTATGTCTTACATTTATGAATTTTTAGAACTTAATTTGCATAACCTTTTTTCTGGCAAAACTGCCTGCTGAACATGCAATTACTAATCTAAATTACTGTTGTAAAAATGCTATCTACCTACGAATTTTTCGTGGACAGGAAGGTACCACTTTTTAAACTTTTCAGGAATTCAGAAAAATGTAAGAAAATTAGAGTATGCTAGCAGTTTATTTTTCTGAAGGCATACCGAATTTTTTAATGTGTTGAGATATGCATATCTGTAGAAAGACTGTCCACCAAAAGCTGTTATGTTGTGGTAAGTGACTTCCTAAGATATAAAACTCTTTCCATTCACTAAACAGTAGCTATATTGTGAGGCATTGCTTCGATAAGGTGATAAAAGATATCTAGGGTGTTTGGTACCATAATCTCAACTACTAATCTTCCAGTTATGTTTTAAAATTGTGATGTTGTGCAGACACATATTTCTATTTTTAACCATATGTGTTAGATTAGCTTCATTTCTGGTGCATATATGGAACCATGGCAGGAATTCCCCCCCCTACTCTTGCTAATTTGCGATCCTGGCAGTATGACATAGTAAACAATATACCAAGGAACACAGTGCCCTATTAGTAAACATTATAACAAGCAAGGAATAGTGTTGATATGAATAAGTAAACTTTATCTGAAACAAAATTCATGTTTTTGATAACTGATTGGTATTTTTCTGTTGAACAGTGGCTCATAAAATTAGCTGTGAAGAAATTGTCTGTAGCATCAGAACTTTGTAAGGAATCATTGCATTATCCTACGCATGTTCTTGTGGTGTAAGTGAGTAACATGTCCAGCTGATAATGGGAAGATCGGTGGTTTGAATATCAGCAAGGGCACTGCTGAATATTCATGTATCTTGTTTCAAAATCCTTTCAAACATTGGTCTCTGCCATAGCATCTAAACTAAAATGGATTTGATTAATAATGTTGTGCCTCTTCCACATCACCATATAAATGGGGAAGAATTTAAGAAATTATTGCAGCCCCCCATCCATGTTCTTATGGAATTTAGAGGTACAGTTGGCAGTTGGAAGATGCCTAGTTGATATCCTGGTGAGGTCGCAGCTGACTTTTCTTGTTTCCTGGCTTTGAAATCCTAATGAACTTTCCTACCCTGGATGTACTCAGCAGTGCATATAAGAATCATAGCTCTGATTGTAATCTGAACATATGCACTTAATTATCTACATAATTTTATCAATAATCTGGATTTATTGGACCAGGTGACTTCTTTTCTGTTATCTGTAGCTCAGTTTCTTTGATCTTATGTCCATTTCACTTGCAGTTAGCATTAGAACCCAATGAGTCTATTATGTGTGTGCAGCTTTTTACTATATTTTTCATTTCATCATTAAATAGAGCTTACATAGACCTAAATTGCTTTAGCAGGTTAATAATCATACAACCCTTATCCCTGTCAAAATGAGAAAAAAAAATCAATTTATTTACATTATAATGTTGTTATAGATATGGCAAAGATGAATGTTATCTGTGTGCATGAGTTAAACGAATACTCAGAAAGATTATATGTTATACATGTGGGTATATTAATGATGGTATTTTATTGTCTTCAAGTTTTAAGGCTAAATATGTATTAATTTAGAAAGAAAAGACAAAATTTGGTATTGTGCATGCATATCGAAGTTACTAATTAAAAGCTGATATTGTATAACTCTTTTTTCAGCCCAATCCACCAAATGTAACAATTACCAATAAGGGACCTCCAACTCAACATACGGAAGGTATAAGACCTCCAAGAGGGCATTCACCTGTTCCTGCTTGTAAGTTGTGTTTTTTTTTTTTTTTTTTTTTTTTTTTTTTCACATGTGCCATTTAATGAATTATGTGGCATGCCATAGATCATATTTATTGTCAGCACCACACTAAAACCACAAATCTGTTTCCAGAAAAATACTATTAAGAATTTGACGTTTTGGGGGAACATTAGGTTATGGCTGCTAAATAAATACTGATCTGTGTGCATCTCTTTCAGTACTGTATAAAATATCAAAAATTAATTTTGAAAATGCATGAACAGAAAAAATTCTGAAACAGCAAAAAAAGGAACATATTTCTGGTTTTCACATCTTATTTATAATATGTAATTTTAGAATATTTTTTAATTGATGTTAAATTTCAGATAAGAGATTTATGAATATGTATATAAATCTGTCTCTATAACATGAAGCAGACAATTAAATTTTGTATTAAATCTTCCTTTTTCCATTAAATAAGCAAAAGTAGAATTAAAGTTAAACATTTTTTATATGCTTGTTATAGGTGGCCCTCGTATGTCATGGAATCAGGCTGCTGCCCCATCATCTCCTGTATCTACATCTCCTACAACTAGTGTTCTGGCAAATCAGTTAAACATGGCCCCTAGTAATATGCCATTACGACATAATAATCCACAGCTTCAGTCAAATCAAGCAGTTTCAAGTATTGTGTCGCAGTCACAATCTACAATGAATCAAGCTCAAAGTCAGTTTCTGTGTTCCATTTTTGTAAAATACTTTACTCCCCCCAAACTAAATTTGTTCATTAAGAACTATGCATTTATGTGAAATATTTTTATGTATTTATAGCTGAAATTATCTACTATAAAAGACTGTAAAACTAATCAATATATAGCAAGAATGAAGCAAATTTTGCAAAATTATTGTTCATGCATGCCAATAATAGATTTATTCATTACATACAGTGGAAACTTAAGGTACGACCACCTCTATATATGAGAAATTCGAGATACGAGGAAAATATGAGTGAAATATTTATCTCTAAATAAAAGCATTGATTCGAGTAATGAGCCAAATTATTGGTATGCGTTTACTGATCTGGCTCGAATCTGAGAATCCCCTCGTCAGATCACTCAGTATTCTTTGATCTACGTGTTTGTGCACTTGTGAGTTACTTGTTTTTAACATTTAAACTGATAACTAATTATTTTGCTATGCCTCCCAAGAAAATTGTTGGCTCAGATAGTGCTGCAAAGAAGGAAATTTAATGGTTTCACAGTTAACCGAAAGTAAGAAAGGAATCATAAATAAACATAAACATGGTGTAAATGTGACGGAATTGGGGAAGACTTATGTATGTTCAACATCAACAATCTGCACTATTCTGAACCAGAAGGAAGAAATTAAGAAACTTGATGTGGTCAAATGAGTTAATGTTACTTCCAAGCACCATCCAAAACTCCTAGAAAATGGTGACAAGCTGTTGTTTGTGAGGATTAACGAGAAGCAGTTAAAAGGCGATTCAGTGTCGGAAGCTATCATTTGCGATAAGGCTAAGAATCTGTATTTGGACCTTCTCAAAAAAATACCTGGTATTATTCACTAGTGTTATTTATTAGGAAAATTGATTTATATATTGATATTTTTAGGGGTCAAAATGGATTAACTGGATTTTCGTTATTTTCAATGGGGAAGTTTGTTTCTAGATACGAGAAATTCACTATACAAGCTCAATGCTGGAACAAATTAAACTCATATCTTGAGGTTCCACTGTAGATGTTATAGATGTTGTTATTAAAAGTTTTTATTCAGTATTATCAAAATCTAAAAAAATTAAATACAGTTTTGAAGGGAATGAAATTGTTGAATTTTTGTTTTAATCCTGTGTTTTATTTTTGATGAATAGGGCTAATATTATTAGAATTTTCATTTATTTAGTAATGTAATTATTTTATGTGTTGTTTTGTAAACCAGTAGCTTTCCCCCCCCCATGTGATATGATATTAAGTAAAATTTGGTGTTGATTTTGTGTTACTTGATCTTGTATTGTTTTTAAAGACAGCTTAAACCTAATTTAATGGTACTGATTTAACAATACCCTAATTTAATGGTTGTTTTCATTAGTCTGGCTATAAATCAAATTGAAAATTATCTTGTATTAAAGGCTTTTAAAGTAATCTTTTTCCTGTGTGTGTGTTCAAAATCTAAAAAAAGCTTAGTAACTGGTAAACATAAACTAAAATTTTAGATTTTAATAATATATAAATTTAAAATTCCATTAAGACAATATCTCAGTTTAACATAATTTTCAAATAGACTGTTGACAGTTGTTAAATCGAGATTGGTTTCCAGAGTGTGCAATAAATTTCATGAAGCAAAATGTTATTTTCAAACAATTTCATTATCCATTCTAATTTTATTCTTTGTTAAATGTAGTACAATTGTTTATGTAAGAAATATTTAATGGTTATTAACTGTATTTCTTTTATAAATTATTCAGGTGTTCTTAATCCAAATAATGCTCTTAGAGGAAATTTGCCCAACATTGGCCTTAGGTTAACTCAGAATACTTCACCTGGACCTGTTCCTTCTGCTGGCCCCAATGCACTGACTGTGCAATTAAATCAGCATCAGTCATTTAGCCAGAATTCTCAGCAGCCTCAACAACAATCTGCCAGCATGGCCAATTCCATGCCTTCATCTATTCAAACAAAACTTGGAAATGCCACAAGTGGAAATCAGCTCATATCTTCTCAGGGTCAAACTATAACAACTGCACCATCATCTAACATGCCATTACAATCAGGACCTGGGATCATGCCAATGTCTCAGGGTACTTCACAGCAAAGTCAGCCATCTACTAACCCCACAGTTGCCACAAAAGATAGGCGTACTATATGGCAGGGGATTCTTGAATTTCACGAGAAATCCGTGCCGCCACAGTCACAGGCTCAGGCTCAAAGAGTGTCTCACTCTTTATCCTGCACTTTCTCTTCTGTGGTGACTAATGGGGAGTCAGATGTGTAAGTACTATATAAAGTCACACACACACATTATTTAATGCTTCAAATTTTATTATTGTTTTTAATTTCCCAATATAATTTTTTATATATTATAAATCTTTTATAAATGGAGCTATTAAGTTAGTCATAAAATAGCTTTTGTCATATAATTTAATAAGTAAATGAATGATTATCTAATATTAACAATGTTTTTATTGAAAGATAGTCTACACAAAATCATTGTTTGAATAATTTCCCACCTCTCTCCTATCATTTTTAATACCATTTATTTAAATATATGTAGCATAACTACTTTCTTGAATTGGGTAGATGTATAAATTTTGCTTTTTATATCTGCATAGTATGATTTAAAATGGATTTTATTTGCATGTTGTATATACGAGCCAATAAACCAATGAAATGAATCTTTGCTATTTTTTAAATGGAAATTTGCTTGAGCTTTATTATTATTATTAAATGGCATTATAATTATCTGAATTTTAAAAATACATTACATATCTTAAGTTAATTGTAATTATGGTTTAAGTTAATTGTAATTGTGATTTAGACATTCTTATACAGTGGTAGCTATGTGTGTAGTTTAATAATTAAATATGTTTTAGCTGCCTATGGGTTTTTGCCCACAGATTTCCTGCATCTGAAATGATATTTGTGTTAAATATATTTGTAATATTCTTTTTTCTTTTGTACAATTTGGATGCACGCAATGTATATAAAAACTTAAAACCAGAGAGGATTTACATTTATTTCTTTGGGTGCAATTCTGCTACTATTTTAATGATTATATCTATGTGTTCTTGATATTTAAGCTTTTAGTCAATGTGGCTATCTGAGAGTTGTTTTTTTTTTTTCCCTGCTCCCCTAATTATTTAAAAGTATCTCGCAAATAAATCATGCTGACTAAAAGGTTAAATATTTTATGGAATTTGTAAGGCGTTTTTAAAGATAAATGTTGAAACTAATCATCCTTAAGCCAGTAACTAAAACATATTTTAATTTTAGCAATGCAGACAAGTGGCCTAACAGACTGATGTTGCAGTTGATACCAAGACAGCTTATTGTTGTTGCAAACTTATTCAACCCATTGAAAACTGCTGCTCGACATGTACTTATTCATTTTAATCAAGAATCTGAAGCCCTTTCAAAATTATGCAAAACTATGAGTTCTGGTCTTGTGAGTAAATTATATATTTTTAATGGGTAACATAGTTTATGTCAGACAAATAATATGCATAATTATATTAATGTACATTTATGTTCTGTAAATTTAAAGTTTTTGTTCTAAGTTATTCCAAGTTAAATGGAATATGTTATATGGAAAATACTTAACAAAACAGAAAAATTATATATGGAAAATAATTAACAAAACAGAAAAATTATATAAATAAAGAAAATTTCTGTATGTTAATGTTTTAATCTCTTTCATTTGAATAAAGCTGTCTGAATTTCAAATAAAGTTTTTTTGCATGAGTACGATACAAAATAGAGAGTTAACAGAAGGTGGATTATAAAGCAATAAAAAAGTAATGCTTTTAATGTTTACACTTGGAATGACTTATTATTTGCATAATTGTTTTTCTAATTACATTCAGATTCTAATTAACAAGTCATCCAACATTAATAATAAAATTTCTGACCTCAGGGTATAATAACATTGACATACAACTATGCAATGAAATACAAAAGTTGTGTACAGTGAAACTTCAGATTACAATTATGTCTTACAATAAACATATTGGATGACATATGCTTCCTTAGATTATTAGTGTTCAAATTGGCAACAAATGATTTTTTTAAGGTTTGTTATGTAATTTTTGAGGTAGATGAAGAACTAACACTCAAGGACCTCTAGAAACATTTTAATATTTTCTGCTGCTTAGTTGTCTATAACAAAAATTGGCAGGATCATAAATTTAGGCTGGGAAAAATTATGACCAGATTATATTGCAGGCAGTGATTTTAATGGCTTTAACACTTAGCACTTCTTGCTAACTATAATAAGCAAATGTCTTTAAGCAAAGCCATGATAAGTTAATATTGAAAATGTGAATGAATTAATAGAGTACCATAGTAATGAGCTTAACGAGAAGGAACCGAAATAATTTAAGAACAAAAGGCTATTGTAGTCGAATATCTTCAGAGGAAAAAAGAAAAGAGGATCTTAGGTCTTTGATACAAAAAAATTGGGGCAACATGCAAAAGTTTTCATGTAAAAATAACACCTTGATAAAACAGCAAAGAGTTACTGCATAAGAATTTTCAGTAACATTACCATGCCTTATTTATAAACATTTTAAAATGTAGACAGCAACAAATCATGTTGGAAAACTTTTGAATAAAATGGAGGCACAGTGAATCTCAAAACAAAGTCAAGTGATACTAAGAGATGAATAAAGGAAGATGCCTCGGAAAGACTGTTATCTTATGATGTTATGGAAGGAGACTTCTCATATAAAGTATATCTTCTTTCTCACTACATCCCATTCTTCTCTGTAGTGGTACAGCAAAATTAAGTTTCAATCTGTTTTAACTGTTTAGTTTATTGTATTTATTTATTTATTTCCCTTAAATTTAATGGTTTTCTTTTGTTGTTGTTTATGAATTTGTGCACGAAATTCTAATCAGTATCCGAGATCCAGGAATGCATTAATCCATTTTACATTATTTGCTAAGGAGAAAGGAGTTTCATCTTATAAATGTTTCAGTTAATGATCGATCTTTAGGAAAAAAGTACTTTTGTATATTGAAGTTCTATTATACTTATATCAGCATGTGAATTACAGTAAGGTGCATAATTGAGCGGTATTTATGTATTAAATTGAACAATATAATTTGTAAATATTTATTTTATGCAATAAATTGTGTAAGAAAAATCTGATGTAAGAATCCACTTTTTTAGTAAGTATTAAATATTGTTTCATATTTGTTGGGAACTTTTAAAATCTTTGGAAAGAGCAATTGCAAATGTGATTTATATTTCTAGTACTTATTAGCGTGAGATCCATTGCTTGCTGTAATATTCATATAATGTCTAAAAAAAATTGTTAGATATACGATCTGAAAATTATGACACTACGAGATATTTCATTTTTTGACATTATCTTTCTCAGTTCTCTGATAGTAGCTAGGTCATATTCAGTTCTGTTTTGCAAGAGTACTCCAATTTTTTACAGTCAATTACTGATAATTTTTTATATTTTTATGTTTCACGAATCTGAAGAAATTTCTTGCATTAAAAACAGTGAATTTAGTTCTTAATTTTAATTCCAAACTTTTTGTATTCCTCTGACTAAGGATTCTGTACTTTAAGTATTGAATTATTCCAGAACTCGCAGGTTATAATTTGCTTTCAAATGTGGTAAAGGAAGAAATAGAAAAGTCCTTTTCTATGCCATTAGTTGAAAAAAGAATGATTTCTATGCACTTGTGACCAAATTTCATGTGTACTTTAAAAATGGTTGCTAAATAAGTTTACTGTTTTGGAAGAAATTCTAAATTCAAAAAAAATTTGAACTTGTTGATAGTTTTTTAAATTGTAGTAAAATATTTGTTAAATTTGCAATTTGAGAAAAAATTATTGAATTTGGTTACGCTACTTAGTTTTTCTCAGTTACTGAGTAGAGCATCTGTTCTGGTAAATTACTTTCTTCTTGTTATTTTTAAAGCTAAATGTTTCATTGCTAAGATATTTAAATATTTTTTCTTCTAGGTGGGTTGTATCCAATTTCCACCAACTTGCGATATTCGCATCATGGTAGTCATTTACATGCAAGACAAGCGTATTTACATGGGCTTTATTGCCAATGATCAAGATGGATTTTTTAATAGTATACGACAGATGTATGAAAATCAACGTAAGCAGCAACAGCAAAAACAACAAAGGGTATATAAAATAATACTCAACCCAGATACATTTAATTATTTATTTTAATAAATTATATATTTTTATAGTTCTTTTTTCTTTTAAAGATGCAGCAGCAACAGTTAGGAAATGTTACTTCATCTGACAATATAGGTCTCCAGTCAACAAATACACCAAATCAAAATATGATGATTACGCAGGTATGTAAATATTTCATGTATAAAATAATTTGACTTTTAAAAGTAAATAAATTAAAATAATAAACTACCATAAATTTTACTTAATAATTCTATGTATTTTCTTTATTGAAATTGAATTCCAGAACATTAATTGTAATCAGAAATTGCTTATCAGCTGCCTTCAACTAAGCATAATTTGATTTACAGACTTCAATATGTCTGCAGTTTTGTTAATTGTCAGTACCTTTTTATATTGCTTTTCTTCCACAAAGAAATGAAGTTTAAATTGCTTTGTTTAGATATTGTTTTAATTAATTTGATTATTTTGCCGAGATCTTATCTGCATAGAATAGCAATACCTTTTGGAACTTGCAGTTTGCCTGGCCATATGATAATTTTCACATAGTTATGCCTTGTTGATGCAACATAGTGCAGAACATAGGAAGCTTAAGTCATAGACATTTTTAATGTAAAAAGTTTATGAGTGTGTTCTAAACCTTTTGCCTGCCTTTAATGGCTGGAGCTTCAAGCTCTTTGAATGCCACCCAGTGCAGTCTTTGTAAGCCCTAAATTTTGCTGTTCATTGCCACCGTAAATTAAAAATATTTCACCTCCTCTGAATACTAAAAGTTTTGCCATTCCTAAATTTTGCTGCCTATTGTTTTTCTAAATTCTAAAAATGTTGCTGCATAGTGTAACCTCGGTGGTTGCACCAGCTATGGCACCAACTCTTGTGATATGAAGTATCATCTTTTACTTTCATGTATTCCAGTTACACACAAAATTGTGCATCATTTCCAATTATAAATAAGCTGACGAACAAAGCCACTTCCTAAGAGGATTAAATCATAGCTTGTATTTGCCGTAGTAGAGTATTAAGAGTTATGGGAATGCTTTCTCCTTTTAAATTTTTTAATATGGCATTAAAAAGCAAAGATTGTTTGCTATGTATCTTGGGTACTTTCCGATTTGTACAACCCTCCAGTTTTTAAATGCTACCAAGTATAACAATAAATTGCCAACAACTGTTGTCATTTCTGTAAGATGATTACTATGTGCGATGTTGCTTATTTTGTGATGTAATTTCAATAAATCTTGTTTTGTTCACCATTATCTATGATTTCATATACACAAACAACAGTCCATTAATTAGTTTATTTGTCACAAAAAAAGCTGATGGGAAGCTTTGTAGTAATATGTTCCTCTCCTCCAAAAATACAGTTGTACCTTGAGATACAAGTGTCCAACATATGAGTTTTTTAGATACGAGCTGTCACTAGGGCAAGTTTTGGGGCTGAGTTATGAGTCAAAATGTGAGATACGAGCTAGCATCGGTGATGTCTCAGCAGTTGGCATGCACAAAATTTGTGAATCTGACTCAGCAATCAGATTTGCATAACGGCAGAAGAAAAGAAAATACCGTCCATGAAAGATAGTTTGACTCTGTTCAAACTCTCGCACTGTATGCAAATGGCGGCTATGTGGAGGGCAAACCCAAAGACAAGAGACACCAGGCAATTTTTTTCTGGAGTGGATGAACTTGGTCTCCTGCCATTAAAAAATACCTTGAGGTCAATGACTTACCCATGCAAGCCCTTCTTGTCCTTGACAGTGCTGCTTGCCATCCACCAAACCTTGAGGACGACATCCTCAAGAAGTTCATCTTAATAAAGATTCTCTACCTTCCACTCAACACTACTCGTATTCTAAAACCCATAGTCCAACAGCTGATCTCCATTTTAAAGGAATATTTTACAAAACAAATGTTTAATCACATCTTTGAGGTTATGGAAAACACAAACCTTCGAGAGTTTTGGAAGGACCACTGTAACATTGTTATATATCTCAAAATTATTGATGTGGCCTGAAGGAGACTTTAGAAAAGAATTTAGACTTTAGAGAAGAATTTAAATCTAAGAAGTGTTAGATGAGGTTGTGTATCTTGGAAAGTTTATGGGCCTGGAAGTGAATGAGGGAGATATCAAAGAGCTTTCACCGCACTATCTGTAAAACTGACGACATAGTAGTTGATGGAATTACAGATGCAGCAGCAAATGGAATTTCAGCAAGAGATTGCAGAGGAGCCAGAAGTAGAGGAGGATATCTTTTTAAGTGAGATAAGGGATGTGTTGGCAATATGAGAAAAAGTTTCGGACTTTGTTAAAAGGGAACACCCTGAAAAGATTGCAACTGGTCATACAGCGATGCTATTTAATGACACTTGTCTAACTCAGTTCAGAAACATTCTAAAAGAGGAGGGGAACAAAGCTTTGTAGACTTTCTACTGAAATATCCTTCGAATGAAAGTCACAAAAACATAGCAAAAAAGAACTTCTGAAGAAGAAAAGCAAAAATAAGTGGGGAAAATTTAATATGTATGTCATATGCTAATCTAATATAGTATATGTATCTAATAATTTAGGTTATAATAACATGTCAAATAATGTTTATTGGAGAAGTCAAACAGAGAGAATCAGTGTAATACAGTCAAAAGTCATTAATTCGGACACCCATAATCCGGAATGATCTATAATCCGGATCTCAAAGCTACAAGCTTTCTGCGCATGCGTCGCGTTGATGCATGCGCATAGGCATTTACGCATGCGCATAAGACCTTTACGGCTGCGAATATGCGTGTGCGCATGCGCGTTTAATGTATAACAGAAGGTATAGCCTAAGATAAAATTATCTAATTCAGTTAATGTTGCAGATTGCGTTGTTCCTTAATCTTCGAATTGGATCCGGCTTATTATTTTTTGCAGACTGTTAGAGCAATTTTATAAAAGTAAGCTTGAACTTTCGATTATGTCAAATAGAATTTCCGATATATATTTACTAATATGTAAAGAATCTATAAAGCGAAAGTATGTTTCGAAGTCCATTAAACAGAAAGTGGAATTGCTGCAAAAAATGGATAAAGGCATATCTTTTGATTATCTAATCATTCCGAAATATGTTTATCAATTTCACGCTGCTCTGCGGGGGGGAGGGAAACGACACGGCGCGCAATGAATTGGAAGTTGATCTGTCAGCTCTATCCTTATCTTCAGGGCAGATGTTTTTATTTTATTTGGCTTATAATTCCTTACTAAATGTAGTATTTCATCTCGATGTACTCCGTCTTTGATATGATTTAAATCGAGTTCCTCGTCATTATAATTCGCTTCCGATAGTGAAGAAAGTGACACAGAGGTTATTGAAAACGAAAAAATTTCGATTGACAAATTAGTCGGTATTCTCGACACAGCAATCATACGACTTGAACAGCGGAACTTTGTAACTAAACAAGAAATTATGTCTGTTTAATAGAATTAAAGAGAAAGTATAATCACATGAAACGAAGCAACTTAAACAATTTACATTGAAAGAAATGTTTAATAAAGTAAACAAATAAATATTAAGCTTTTTCTTTTTGTAAATATTGATACACTTTAGATCATAATTGTTCTTTATTTCATAAATTACGGTTTCACATTTTTATTTTTATAATTTCTGCATGCCATCTTACCAGATTTAAACTGATGACGTATAATCCGGAAAAATCGTTAATCCGGAATCGCCGAAGTCCCGACAAGTCCGGATTAACGACTTTTGACTGTATTTATAAATTTTGCATGACTAGTTTCGATGGTTTAAATACAGAACCATCTGTCTAAGTGCAAATGACACTGCATGATTTTTTCCCTCGATTTTCAAATTGTAAAATAGGAAGACATGCAGGTGTGTGTATATATATATATATATATATATATTATTATGTATATTCTCTCTTAAATATATATATATATATGCTTTATCTTTTAAATTAATTGAAACAAATTGAAGTCAACTAAGGAAACATATGTTTTAATATTTAATAACTTATTTAGTTTATGCTTTTGTTGAATATAGTTAAATTATATACTGTGTTATTTAATGTGTAATGGTTGGGTTATTAAAATAAGTAATATTTTCAATTATGTTAAACTTAAAGACATGTAATTCACTTCTGAAAATGACATTTATATATCATAATTTGGATAGATTTTAGCAATAAGATCATTTCATCATATACTGTATTAACTCTTTGCACTCTAACAACTTTTAACGTATTGAAATAATTGATTTGAATGGTGATCATTGACCAATCCAAGCAGCTCAATGATCCCTAGCGCTTTTTCGATTGCTAACACACTTAAGTGAATATCATCTTACTACACAATAGTCTAAAGTTTTAATTATTACCATTTTTTTAACACACACTTATTAATCTGAAGACTTTTCTTCGTGTTTTCACAGATTTTTTTCAAGAGCTCATTGTGTGGCAGATTAACACATAAACTATATTAAAATTGCAGAAGTTTGTTTCTTTGTTCAAATTTATCTTCTTTCCATGAAGTTTTTTCTCCAGCATCATGAAATTTTAAACAAAAGTAGAATCTTAAGACCATGTATTTAAATTCAAACTTTTTGCAGACTTCATTACACACTATTATGTCATGAACATAAGCTGGGAGGAATTGGGCTTAATTTATGGAATTAACAATCAAGGAAATAAGTCATATGCTTTCACTGCAACAAAAAGACCATTCCAATGAGCTGAATTCAAAACAATGACCAGTGGATTGCTTCTGTGTATTTCCCTACAACCCAGTGCTCTGCCAACTGAGCTTAACTGTTTCATTTTATAAAATTCATCTGAAATACTTCCAAATACAATTTTTTTTTTTTTTTTTTTTTTTTTTTCCTCCTTTCAGAGCTCTAAACAATTTGTGGTAATTGTGGTTTGTATTTTTATGCTGCACCGAGATTGATTTCAAGTTCACTTAAAATATATAAAATTATTTTCCTCTTGTCATTATGTATAAAATAAAGAATTATAATAGTGAGATTAATTAAATGTATGTTTAATATTTAGATAATATAAATATAGAGAAGTTTCTCAGGGTAAGCATTTTCTTAAGACAGTTGTCTCTGAAAGTAACCACCATTTCCAAGAAACAATTGGATAATGGTGTTGACATTATCATTTGCTCAAAATTAACCATTAAAAAAAAAAAGAACTGTGAGTAGTCATTTAAAGGCTGTTACATTGTACAGCTAATGTCTTATATTAAATGGAGTAAAAGTTAATGTGCTAGATAATTGATAATTGTAAACAAATTAATTTTTTTATTCTTTTTATTTGTTTTACAGCCTGCATCTGGTAATATGAATGCAAGCAACAATCAAATTAATCCACGAATGCCAATTAATCAACAGCAAGTAGCACAGAATACTCCAGCTCCTGCACAAGCTCCTAATGCAGGAATGGTTCATTCAACAACTATGAACCAACAGCAACCATCACTTTCTCAGGCTGCCAGGTTGTCTCAGTTAGAAGCTGCTAGGCAGCAGAATTTGGTAAGAATTATATGAATCCATTGATTAGAAATGTAATAAAAAGTAAGTGCCAGTAAAAATGAATTATAGTTCCTAGTGGATAAACTAAAATATTTAAAAGCATTGTGTGTAAATTTGAGATTACTGTCATAAAATGTAGCCTGCTTCAGAAAGATTACGTGATTGAAAAGTTTGTTCATAGGAATTCAGGAAATGAATCAAGTTAAGTAGCATTTTAGGTTAAACAGCAGTTCTCGTGGCAGCTGATAATAAAAATTTTGTATAGGCTATAATAAACCTACACAAAAATTTTATTTTCCGTGGGTTATGTTAGAGTAGATATTTGAATATGGTAAAGTGTGGATGTCTATCTACCTGTAAAACAAGATGTCCTCGTGGAGGACATTCTGAGGAAAACTGACTCGTATTGACATTACACATGGAGAAAACCATGCAGCCAGCCTGTTCACTTGGGTTCAAAATCAAACCAAGTTGAACTACCAATATTCAGTCGTTTTAGTTACTTCACCATTGGCATGACTCTGTTTTCTGTGGGACCTGTACGAAGTTATATTAGAACGTTTCTTATTTAAGAATATAATTTTTATCTTTCTTAGTAAAGATATTTTGGAGAGATGGTAGTTCTGAAAAATCTACTTTGAATTGAGCTGTCGTAATTACGTGAAGTAAACTGCTTATCCTGGTGGAAAGAAAATTAAAATATTTTAAGGGCTGTATATAATTGAATTTCATTAAATATAAAATGTTGAGTTTTACCATTTCTATACCAGGAACTTTAAAACCCAAGTTATATTATTATGTTGTTACAAACACTGAAATAATTGTCATATTGATGTTCAGCTTAATCCCAGTGTAGTTCAATACGCTAGTGCTTAGCAAGTACATAGTTACTGCAGAAAAAAGAATTTTTCTTGTGAGTACAAGCTACATCGCCATTTACACTTGTTATTTCATAATTTTGTCCCACTCAAAAATGTATCCAGCTCTCATGCCCAGTTACAAAATATTATAGCAGTTGTCTGTTATCGGTTTCATACTGATGGAGAAGTTTCTAGCAAACATCAATATATTGATTAAAGAAAGCTGTTTCTTTTATTTCAGGTGTAAAATGTTTACAAATGATTTGGAGGACTTTTTATAAAATGTAGTAAAGTGCTGATATATGCAGCAGTGATTTCACGTTCTTAATTACAATGTAGCATTTTTCTCATATCATATTCTTCACTGCTTTGAAGAAATTTCTTCACATGTGTAACACTGATATATATATCACACATACACTCCTTTACTCAGCTTAAAAGTCCTTACCCGCCTTTTATTTTTGCAATTGTTGGTTGTAGTCATATACTTTTCCAATTACAGGTGATGCTTGTCTTTCGCACATTTTAAAAAATTGAATTTTTTAAAGATTTTTGTCTGCAATGAAAAACATTTGCTTGTTTGTCAACCATTTCTGGCTCACTAACTCCATTTTGCATCCCCCCAAACATCAGGCATTTATCGAAAAAATAATTTCGTTATTTCTGGGTCTTTTGCTCAAGATTTCTGATTAATAAACCAGCCATTTTATCTTTTTATCAAAAATGAAGGTTTGTAACATTTAAAATGTTAGATATATAAATATAGCATACAAGCATAAATACCATGTTAGTTTAAAAAAATGTTTTTTTCAGAAAGGATTAAATCAACTAATCTGTTAAATATATATATATATATATATATATAGTCCTTTCATTTATGTTCAATTCCACAACATTAAGTCTGGGTTTTTGTAGAAGAATTTTCAGCCCTTATAAAATAAAATCTATTGAGGGTAAATCATTTGATCTTTATACATAAATTAATTGATACTCGATGGACAATTTTTATTATTGAGATATAATTATAATTTTAACTGAATTATTTTATTTTAATGCTTTTATATAAAGATTGCATATGTTTTCATGATATCTTGCAGTTAAAAATTCAGCAGTTGCAGCAAACTTTAGAAGCAGCTCAACAAAAAGAATTGCAATATAAAGCTGCTCAAGAACAGCAACAGCAACAACAGCAGCAGCAGCAACAGCAACAGATGATTGAGCGGCAGAATACGATAAGACATGTATGTGGGATTTTTTTTTCCTAATATATCCTTCATTTAATAAGATGTAAACTTTGAATTTATATTTTATGTATTGATGTGACAAAGAGTATCCCAACAGATCATAAAATATGAAAGGAATTTATTACCTGAATTTTAATTTTTTTTTAATGCAATAAAACAATTTACACACTGCTATTCTCTGAAGTCACCTGCCAGTGCAATTGTTCACTTGTTCCAGTGCGAGGAAGTTCCATAATTGCCAGAAGAATAAAGTTCTTTGATTCCATTTGACATTCTTACACAGCATCAATAACCTAAACATCGTACTTGAATGGCCCCACTGCATACTTGTTTATTTCGATTCTGGTATGAAGTATCTGTATTAGTATGGCTGGGATATTGTGCATTGTGCAATGTGTTCGGCTCATGAAACAAAGCCAAATGGGCACCTGACAATAATATATGATAATATGGTAGGAGTAAGTAGTGTATTCAAATGTGTATACGTTTGCCCAGTGAGTCATTTAACTCATTGCAAAAAGAGCATGAAAATTCTTGTTTATATTTTAGCATCCCTTGTAATATATTTGTTATGTAGGTGATTTCATAATAGCTTAAAAATATTTGCACCAGTGATGTATGCTGTGCAACTGTTAAAAAAAAAAACTGCAATATAATATAAAAAGTAAAATAACACCTCTCCTTTGCAGAAAAACATTAGCATATCTGAAAGTTAGTTAGATTATGATAGAACTTCAAATATTGAAGCTAATTATGACCATTAGCCTGTTTGGATATTCAAAAGTTCTCGATAATTATGTTACCCTACTAAATACCACAATGCAAATGAGGAAATTTTTTTTCTCCTTTACAGTACACTGGTAGAAAAAATTAAAGGAACAACAGTTTAAAAAAAAAAAAAAAAAAAAAAAAAAGTGTAACTGAAATGATTTTGCAGCTAAGAGCATAGAATTTGCACAAGATCTTTATTATGTTCAGTTTATCTTCAGAATGCAGAATTTTCAATTTCTGCAAAAAATAAATTTAAATAAAGTAGGATAGGGAAACATTCATTTAATAACTTTTTAAAGATGCATAGAAAAAATTAAGGTGTGTACTCACTTGTGACTGAAGTGCAAGCTTTCCAGTAATTTTCCATGCTGCATTGTCCAGCAGTTTCTGGGATAACAAAGTGTAGTCATTATTAGCACCCTGAAGCTTCTGGAGGATGCTAGGTCGGAGCTGAAGTGATGCAAATCAACATCCTAGTGCATCCCTTACTTAATCTGTTGGATTAAAATCCAGAGAACATGTGGGCCACTTCATTCTCTGGATTCCTCTGCCCTCAAGAAAACTGGTCGCTGATGCAGCATAAGGATGAGCATTATGATCCATAAGGAGGAATTTATTACCTGTTGCATTCCTAAACAGCTTGCTAAGAATCTAAACCTTTTCTCTGTGTGTTTCCGGTTTCATAGCTGCTCTGATAAAAATGCAGTCTCCAGTCTGTGGTTGTCCAGTCATGATGATCTCTGCTCCATTGCAGTCCAGGTTAATGGGAGATGCAAACCATTGTGTTCCTTATATAGTGCTCTCTTTTATGCAGCCTGTCATTTATAGTATGCCTGCATAATCAAGGTCTTGTAGCTGGAGCAAAAAATTCGTTCTGCATGGGAGAAACTCATGATAATGATATTTATAGCTAACAGCGTACTGTAATTGAAATTAAGTCATATATTATTTGTAACAGTATGGGGGTGTAATCCATTGAAACAGTTTGCCTTTAATATCCATTTTGAAATTTTCGTAAGTTTTAAAAGTTTCTGCATGATTTTTGGATTACCTTGTACAAATAGGTGGTCACTCTTGCATGATCTATGTAATGACGAGTATCACAACATACAAGTATGTGAAGCAGTGCAAAAATTTAGATGGATTTCTGAATTAAAAGGAAAATAAAATATCAAGGCTCTTAGTTACTGGTGATCTACAGGTTGAATGTCATTGGATGTCAATTCATGACACCAGTGTGGCTTGAGAGAACAGATTTATTTAAATGAATTTTAATAATAAAATAACACTAGTGCCTGTCAAAGTTGTTGGTCACTGATCTGGGGCAAGGCAGCAAATTTAGACAAATTCTTAAAATTCAGTAAAATAAAAAGACATGGTTCACCATAAATGAAAGATACTGTTGGTAATTTAACCTGTAGTTACTGATGGTTTTTAATAAGTCCATTGACCTTAGGTGATAAATGCATTTCAGTTTGTAGTGCAGGGCAATGCAACAGTGATGCTATGATAATCTTATCAAAGCAAGTGAAAGATAAATAGTTGATAGAATACCTATAACAATCCAGAAGTATTGGATATCTTCTCTTAAGGGTATTTCTAATATACTGCCCTCTTAATAGTGCTAGGAATTTCATTAAGCCTATATGTATTGTAGTATTAGCAAGTGCATCTACAAAACAGGAGCTATATTTGTTACTACATTGTCGTTATAGATGCGTATATACAGTACAAAGTCCGTAATCCTGACTCGGACTTCGGCAATTCCGGATTAGGGTTTTTTTCCGGATTATAGATCATCAATTTAAATCTGGTAAGATGGCATGCAGAAATTATACATTTAAAAATATTAAACCGTAATTTATGAAATAAAGAGCAATTAATTAAGCATTTCTTTCAGTGCAAGTTGTTTAAGTTGCTTTGTTTTTTGTACTAATACTTTCTCTTTAATTCTGTAGATAGACATAATCTCTTGTTTAGTTACATTGTTGAAGTCCTGTCACTGTTGTGTTGAGAATTCGGACTAACTCGCCAATTGAAATTTTTTCATTTTCAATAACCTCTCTGTCACTTTCTTCACTATAGCGGTATTTTCTGGATCTAGAACCATAGTACAGATTTCGCCGTCCGTTAATTGATTGATAATTGGGGCATTGTCGTCGCAATGAAAAACTTCTGTTATATCATCTTCATTTATTACCACTTCTCCACATTTCTTTATAAATTTTATAATCAATAAAATTTAAAATTGCTGCTTTTTCATATCTGAAAACAGGATTTATACAAAATGTAAATACTTTTGGAAGTTTGTAGTAAAAAACAAAACAAAGTCTATTTTTCATCATTCCGTTCCTCATTTGTTGTTTCTTTGATATTTATAATAGTATCTGTATTCAATAGTTAGAAGGCATAATAATTTACTACATTACCTATTCCTGCATTTTTCTAAAATTTCTTTTCCTTTTGCCTTCTAACAAAATCATGGGGCAAAATCTGTGAAAGGATTTATCATTCTGTAAATTTAAAAAATCAATGCTGTACAAAAGTGCTGTAAATGTCATGATACTGAATGCAGGTGTAATTTTTCGAAGCACTAGTACAGAAGTCCAATACCTGGAATAATTTATTATCTGGACCTTTTGTATTTTTTTCCTTTCTTTTTTTTCAGATGGTGTGGAAATGGATATTGATACTCAAGCAAAAACAAGTGTACCATAAATCAATTTTTATTTTAATTAGCTGGTAGGTTTTTTTTAGCCCAAAGGGGCAATTTGCCCAGAAGGGCTATTAATTTCATTTTGGCATTTTGCATTGATTCACTATGAATGGTGAATCACTTTTTAAATTGTTGCCACCAAATATTAGAGCCCTGTATTATAATTTAAAAAATTAAATAATGAAGAATCTACATGAATGTATGTATGTTTCTCACATTGTGATAAAACAACGGTACCTAGAGCCATCAAATTTTGAGTAACATACATCTCCACCCGAATATGGGAATCTCTAAGCCCACATTTGGAATTTGTTTTATTATGTATTTCATATTTTATAAAGCAGTTATGAGTTTTTGATTAAGAAACTCAACGATTTCAAAGCGAACAATGGCAACACTGTATGGGGGGGGACATTTTTATCTCCAGCGTATGAGACTGCGTATAGGAAATAAAATCTGAAAGCTTTCAGCATTTTTTAAAGATATATATAATTTTATCTTATTTATTTATTTTGACTGAAAAACATTATTCACAATAGTATTGAATCATCTTGCATTTTGTTTCAGCTTTAAATAGTTGCTAGCTATTGAGTTCCTTTTTCAGCATCTTGCCTTTTAAAGCATTTATCTAGGCCTGTATGCAGTAAATGAAATTGAAAGACCAGTGTCTGTTTCAAGTGAAATGTTGCACATACCAATTTCATTTTATTGATGTAGCATTTAGTAAAAGATAACATTTCCTTTTTTCTTTTCCCTCAGCCAGTGTATATTGGAATTTTGCATGCACTAAATTACAGATATAAAGTAGCCTTTAAAAAATATAAAGAGCAGTAAGGCCATTCTGAAATATTTTTATATAAAATCTGCTGTGTGGAGTATTGCAGTGATATATGAGAGGATAATTCTGCAAACATCTTTTTTAAATACTTGCAAACTAATATAGGCTTGTGGTGCTGATTTTTAAAAGGTGCAAATTAAGTTATTCACACAAGTGAAAATTAAATAAAGATACATACACCTTTTATTTATATTGGGTGCTAGCCATACTGATTGCCAAAGGCACTGAAATACTGGGTGTTATAGTCAAAGTACCATATTTCATGAGGATGACAACCATGAATTTGAAGGTTTGGGGATATCACAAATAAAATGCAAAAACTTTTCATTAAATAGAATAGCTGAAGAAATGCTAAATGAAGATGATGTAACTTCTTTGTCTGCAGTAACAACAATGAGTCATCAATCAGTTAACGAATGGCAAAATCTGTGGAAAGGCTAAAAGACAAAAAGTATCTCCATTTCAGCATTGAGTGACATTTTGATTTTCATGAAGTTCTTGTTCAAATGCAGTCATTTTTTATGGAGCATAATGTTTTCTTGAAGAAAGAGGGTAGCCACTTGTTCATCTGTTGGCAAATTCGAGGTCATAAAAATCCATTTCTATATATAAAACTATGATTAAATGAAAAAAGGGGTTACCTCAGGAAATATGCCAAATAAAAAAAGCACC